GTCCGTAATGCACACCCGCCTTCAGAGTCAAGAACCAATCAAAATTTGTGAAGACGAGCGACCTGAGAGCGCGATTCGCAATGCTCCGATCGCTATCGTATCCCGTGTGTCGGGTTTCACCCTGGATGCGATGACAGCCGTTAATCGCTGTAGTTTGTTGCTGCCCGTGTGTCGAGCCCTTACGTGTGCGAGCGCGAAATTTCACATGCACTATTTTCGCCGGTCGCTTAGCTGGAGGAGGGTAAGCGATTGTCACTTCACCGCACAGCGACGTCGCCTCCCGTGTGTCGAGCCCTTTAAAGTGTGACACTACAAGTGAATTTCCAGGAAATGAAGGGTTAGTCCAGTTATAAGTACTGTTAAAATTAAGTGTGAAAAACAAACAATGCATTAACATAAAGATTATTTCTGTTTCAGGTATTAAAAACAAGACTTTATTTTCTTGTTCAAACAGGCAGAAAAAAGTGACTAAGATCTGTAGGAAGGTTTTTACGATGTACTGTATCTGCAGTTGGTCTTTGTGCTTCAAAAACTCTTTGTGTGTGTGTGTGTGTGTGTGTTTTAACCCAAGCAAATGCAATCATCAGACCCACTTCCAGCACTGATTTAATCTCCTCACCTTCTACAGACACAGTTCTGCTCTCCTGGGCCTGCGGAGGGCCACAGCCTGCCTGAGTGCAGGCGCTGAGGTGGAAGCGGTAGAGACTGCCCTCCTTTAAGCCCGTGAGTTCCCACCGCGTGATGTCAGCTCCAGTGATGTTCGTCTCCTGGGAATCCATCACCTCCAGTGACGTCTCATTTACTACAAACGAGAAAGAAAGATGTCAGGTCAGTTTAGATCACATGGAGCTCACCATGGATCAACACCAAAAACAAGACAGAAAAAAAATAAAAGTCTTCTCTTTTGGGTCATGTTGTATGTTAAAACAACACAACTATAATGGGGGTCAATGTTTGAGAGAGAGGGAAAGGCGAAGAGATGTCATCCTAGATCATACGGAAGTTGAATATCAGAGATACAAGTCGTGACAGGTAAGCTGAGGAGGAATACATTAGGACGAGAGCGAGGAAGATGAAAGGGGGGAATGAAAAGCTCAAGAGGACGGGGGTGTAAACAAGTGGTGAATGGATAAAAAGAGGAAGTAGTGGAGATGGAGAAGGAACAGCAAGGGAAGTTGAAAATTAGGAGACATTAAGAAGTAAATGGTGTAAAAACACAAGGTACGAAGGAGAAATAAAAAAACAGCTGAGAGGAAATAGGACAAAGAAATATGAGGGAGGCCTAGAAAGATAAAAGACGGGTGGCAGCAGCGAGTACTGTAGCACAGCGTATCGCCAAACATGTATGATACATCAAAGTAAAATATGTGTGAAAGCAGCACACTTGTTCCCTGAAAGCCTCCCTCCGTGATGTCACTCCTGCACAAACGTTGGGAAGAGCAGGTGAGAGTTGATGTGCCAAATCTTTTGTGCCACACGGAACAAAAACGCTGCATATTTTATTTTAATTTATTTTTTTTCCTGGTGACAACAGATTACTCATTTCATTCATCACATAGCTGCTCCAACTGGAAGTGCAGACGGCACGTATTCTGCGGCACGATTTGATTTATGCAATTAAGTGCGAACGGAATTTTAAATGCATGCTGAACCGGTTAAACTTAAAAAAATAAATAAATAAACAAACATAAAAACTCCATTCAAAAACGCCCACGTACCGCACTGAGTGGGAATAAATGTGTAATG